CGGAACGTACATCAGCTGGTGGCCAAGACCAGAGGCACACAGTCTGTATACGGAAGTAAAAGCAACCGGCAAAGGACGGCCTCCAGTAACTAAAACAGTAGTTGTGAATCCTTGCAGTAACATGCGCATGGATACACTTCCAGCAGTATGCGTAAGATTATGTTAACATTCACTTTTTCTTGAAATGTTTAGTTAATTTGAATGGCCGATACCTTATTGTTTGCAGGTCCCTTGTTGCAAGAAAAATCTTTGATCTGAAAGTACCTAACATATCCTAATTTTGTATTAAGAAATTACTCCTTCAATTTGTCGACAATTCTGAACATTTCCGGGTATCGGTGGCCGAGTGATCTTATTAGACTACTAGTTCATCTACAGCGATCACTTGTCTGTCAACTCTGTGATTTAGAGTTTAAATCCCGCTCGTTGCAGGTGTGTTCGACTCCGATCTTATTTAAGAAGGATTGCAAGATTTTCCGCCGAATGTCGTTGGAACTCTTCGGATACCCTGTCTTCAACCACCAATAAAACTTACCGCCATTGTGTGATTTGATCTTGTCCTGAGCAAGGGATAAACATTATTCACACAACGTTCAATGGACTCTACTAAACAAATCATTTTCAACGCATTCGGAAGAAGTAGATCTAACCTGCCTAAGAGAGGTTTTTGGCTTACTAATCGGATGCTTTTTGATTGTTTTTATCCGTGTTTAGATGCTCCAACTATTGACAACTGGCGTTTAAAAAACCCCGTTAGGAAACGTAAGAGAATCGAAAACAATAAAATCTACTGTTTTACCAAGTTTCTGCAGTATTGTAGTCTCTCTAATGCGATAGGTGATAATGAACAATGTGGACCACTTTATTATGGTCTGTATTTTAAAAGATATGTAAAGGAGCTACCATTTGATTTTTACGGGGGGGACTACGATGAAATTTGAAAAAATAGACAGGACAGGAGTTTTGAGTAAAAAAAAAAAGGCAGGATGAGACACTTTGCCCAAAAAAAAGGCAGGATGACATTTTATGTAAAAAAAAGTCAGGATAAAAAAAAAAGTCAGGACCGAATAGAGTGAAAAATAAAAAGGTAGGACAGAGATTTCAATTAAAAAAAAATGCAGGACAAAATTTTTCATCCTAGCCCCCCCCCCCCCCCCCCTCCAAAAAAAAATCAAATGGTAGCTCCCTAAAAAAGGAAAACCACAACATCTCCGATGTATATTGGCATTTTGTTTGCCAAATGTAGATGTCCTTTAAGTTTTACAGACCATTTTAGATTTTAATTTGGAAATGAAGGTATATGATGTGGAGGTTCATGTTCTGCTCGTTCATTTATTGATCTATTTCAGTTTATCAAAGTACGACCAATCCTTGCAGATTCATACATCGATGACGTAGGAAGGATGGGTGATAAAGCTGATCATGTGGTCATACTGAGAAAGAACCTGCTCGACGAGGATCGGATATATCATTTCTGGAAGAAAACCAAGGAAGTTCACCAGCCGTACATCCTCGGAACAAATAACTGCGCAGACATGATATTTCGAGCTCTGAGGATAGGTGGAGCCACAGCATACGTTCCCGATCCAGGTTTCGCCTATATTTGGACGCCACGTCGACTTTATAACTATGTCGAAAGATTCTCATTGTTAGCCATGGTTTTAAATGCTAATTCAAGACTCGGAGAATATTTCGAAATGAACGATTTGCCCCGTCACAAAAGAAAACCCATAAAAGAGGCGTATGAATTGTCTTAGAGAGACACCATTTCATTCAGTTATAGCGACAAAACGTGTCAGAAGGTTCTGAAAATTGGAAGGAAAAATTACAACTGTGATAGCAATGTGAAGCTTATCAATGTGTTGCACTCATGTGGCAAACCAGTAGACATTACATTTTGTTTGTTCACTTCCATAAAGTTTAAAATTAACTCCTTATTAAATAACCACCATGAACGTCATTCAAAACATCCCTTTTGAGGGGACATCTATATATATATATATAAAAAAACATAAGTTCATGTCTGTGTGAATTTTAATCTGATATGTGATATCTCAGGTGCCCCAGAAGGGTACTCAGATCCTGCTCCAAATGTTGATCCCGTCCTCCTCGTTTTCAGTTGGAATAAAAAGTAGAAGATGTGGTACGATAGTCAATGAGACAACCCTCCACCCGATACCAAAAATGACGTAAAAGATAACAACTATAGGTCACTGCAGGCCTTCAACAATGAGTAAAACCCATACCGGATGGTAATCTATTAAAGTTTACCAAGCCAGTAAACCATGAAGCTGTGGTCACATCAGATTGAAACTTGTGTTTTTTACGATGTGAACTTTTATAAATAAAATTTTATACGGTTTTGACCAGGTTTTACGATTCTTGGAAAAAAGGGACGAAAGATACCAGAGGGACAGTCAAACTCATAGATCGAAAACAAACTGACAACGCCATGGCCAAAAATAAAAAGACAAACAGACAAATAATAGTACAGATGACACAATATAGAAAACTAAATACTAAGCAACACGAACCCCACCAAAAGCTGGGGTGATCTCAGGTGCTCCGGAAGGGTAAGCAGATCCTGCTCCACATGTGGCACCCGTCGTGTTGCTTATGTTGGAAAATGACATTAGATAGCGTGAGGTTATTATTTTTATTTTTTATAATGTACCATATATTTTTGGTGATTTTTTAATAGATTTCATATACATGTTTTTTGTATGATTTTCGTGAAGATGAAAAATAATAACTCGGAAGTAGTGCACTTTATGCTTTCTCTGCATACCTACGATTATAAAACACGATTCAATTTACTATTCACTATTTCCCTCTTAACACGTGACAAATCTCAATGTTCTTACTGTGCTGTAATCTGGATAATGCACAGTAAAGGTGTGCATTAACTACATCAGATATACTGCACAATTCAAATGTACTCTCATCTTTAGGGGCGGATCCAGGATTTTTCAAAGGCAAAGGAGCGTCAATTCATAAAAATCCTGTTGACGATTTTAGGATTAAACATTATATATTTTCCAAACCAAAGGAGAATTGACGTCCTCTTCGCAGTCCCCCCTCCCCTTTCCGAATCCGCATGTTACCTTGCAATAACGGCATAGTTGATCAATTAACAACTTTGTTTAAACTTTGTCGTTTCAAATTATGAAATAGAAAGTCGTTCCATTGAACATTCTATGATGTTTCTAATGATAATCTTAAATCTAAAATCAGTGCTTCAAAGTCAAACAAGATAATTATTTATTGTTTTCTTTTCTTTTTTTTGTGGTAATTTCTTAAAATTTTAGAATATCCAAGCAATTGAATTCTGATCTGATTAGTTTTGTGCTCAATGGAATTTATTACGTCTTTTCAAATATTAATTCCTTTTTAGTGAGTATTTTGGGATCGAATTTAATGAGTTTTATGTCTAAGTATGTGCCAAAAAAGAAAAAAACTATACATCATTGAGATTGGAGCCATCTCTGTGGGCCCCGCTGTGAATAACGTGTGGTAAAAAATTTGTATCTTTACCATAGGACATGGGGTTGTCAACTGAAACCAAAGTTTTTGACCTTGACCTTTGACCTAGGAAGTTGTACATACATTATGACACACCCTCTGGTGTTGGTTAATATACATGTCAAGTATAAACTTTGAAATCATAACGGTTCTCAAGATATAGAGCGGACACGATCTTTACCATAGGAAATGGGGTTGTCAACTGAAACCAAAGTTTTTGACCTTGACCTTTGACGTAGGAAGTTGTACAAACATTATTACACACCCTCTGGTGTTGGTTAATATACATGTCAAGTATAAAGTATGAGATTATAACAGTCCTCTAGATATAGAGCGGACACAATTTGTTACGGACGGACGGACGGAGAGACGGACGGACGAAAGGACGGACAGACTGATCACTATAGGGCGACCCGTCATTCGGCGGGGCCCTAATAATATATACTCAAGTAAGTTGGAAATCAATCAGACTTCGTTTGGATGCGAATTGTCTTCAACATTAAAATAGAGTTTGTGTGTGTTTGTGTGTATTGGTGGGTTAAAATTGAAATGTAAACGTTTTTGTTGTTGTTTACTTTGCACTATAAATCTAAGTCTCTTCGATTAATATTCCTCTTAACATATTCTTGAGGGAAAAAGCAATTAATCTATACTCAATAACCCTTTTAGTTATAATTTATCATACACAGATTTTAAAGTACATCAAGCAGAACTAAAACTGTACGATGTGGTTTATACGTCAATAAGACAGCAATCAAACGAAAAATTCACATAGGAGAGTAACATATAGTGTTCTACATTAGACAGGTGCCTACGAAAATGTTCAAAATCGTCACGAATTTATGTAACAATTGTGAATAAATTTAACAGAAACAATCAAAGATCTGCATTAAACCGCAATTCTCTAAAAAACTAGAAGAAATTTTTAAATATCAAAAAAGTTAATTATTTAAAAGTTAAAGTTGCCAACCTTTTACTACTTAAAAGCATATTTCCCCCTTTCTTTACCCTACCAGAAAAACTTTCCCAGTAGCTGTGGATTGCATATCGTCTGAATATTTCCAAAACGTTCGTTTGAATTGATAGCATTATGTGTAAAACAGTTATTGGCCATCGGTATATATCATTCAATCTGCACGGTCGGGAAGACCCTTTAATAACAGGATAACATCTACGTTGTTAGGGTCAAGTAGGGTTACCCGAGCCATGCAGATTAGATTTCCTTGTTCAATAACTATAACTTATAAACTAAAACTCAGCTAGATAAAATTAAACCAGATTTTGCTTAACTTTTAGACGACAAGAGGTGTTTGTGAGGGGTAAATACCATTCGAGTCATTTTCTTTTTGGAAAAGTTGTTACAATGATTATAGCGTTTCCATATACAGATAAACATTGGTTATATGATCTCGATTCTCGAATCTAAATGGACTGAATGATTTTGAGGTCTGAGAATAATGCACACAAGACAAATCAAATGAAATCTTAGGAAATAATTTATCAAGTAAACAGAACGATGTGTTCATTTTTACCACGTGACCATTTCACTGGCGGTTGACACGTATCTCATTTATTCAAATAAACTTTTGGTATGTGTTTTATTAATTTAATAAAACGGATTTCTACAATCAAATTTTAATTTAATCAGCGCCCCCTATAATTATATCCTGAACCATAGGTTGAACCACTCTTTGACGAGCCACTATTTTTTCTTCCCGAATACGCTACACCATAAGTTGAACGTGCCTTTGATGGTCCTCCATACTTTGTTCGCGGATATACTACACCACTGCCTGAACTTCCATGCGACCATGCTCTCGATTTACTTCCTCCGTGAAATGCTGATCCACTACCAGAAACTGCACTAGATCTACCACCAAGACTGCTCGAACTGACATGTGACCCTCCTCCTCCTACACCAATAAAACTTCTTCCGGAATGAGATACCGTACTTGAATGATGGACTGAATGATGAACTGAATGATGAACTGCATGATGAGTTAATATATGAGACAGACTATGGCTTGAATGTGAAATACCAGTGGCATGATGTGCTGATGTGCTAACGTGACGTGCCGATGTGCTAAGATGATGTGCTGATGTGCTAACATGATGTGCCGATGTGCTTCGAACTCCGGAAACAGAGCTACCTCCAATATGGAAATGAGAATTAGATACCCCGGCAGTTTTTAAAGCACCGAGAATAGCGGAGTTCAATCCCGAGTTACTGAATGAACTGAGAGTCTGAAATAGAAATCAACATAGTTATTAAAACAATTTACAGCACATCTATATGTTTTATTACCATTCGTCCACGATGGCAGTGACACAGATAATAAAATAGAGAAATTCTAGATTGTCACCAGTACCCACCCTATGGATTGTCACCAGTACCCACCCTATAGATTTGGTATTATCTCCAGTACCAACCCTATAGATTTGGTATTGTCACCAGTACCATCTCTATAGATTTGGTATTGTCACCAGTACCCACTCTATAGATTTGGTATTGTCACCAGTACCCACTCTATAGATTTGGTATTGTCACCAGTACCCACCCTATAGATTTGGTATTGTCACCAGTACCCACTCTATATATTTGGTATTGTCACCAGTACCCACCCTATAGATTTGGTATTGTCTCCAGTACTAACCCTATAGATTTGGTATTGTCACCAGTACCCACCCTATAGATTTGGTATTGTCACCAGTACCATCTCTATAGATTTGGTATTGTCACCAGTACCCACTCTATAGATTTGGTATTGTCACCAGTACCCACCCTATAGATTTGGTTTTGTCACCAGTACCCACTCTATAGATTTGGTATGCTTTTTTCGTTCTTTTCTTTTTTTTCAAAAGAATTGAATAAAAAATACCTTTAGATAGACAAATGTGTAAAGCTTTCATTTTTGTTTAAAATTTAAATAGAAATCTAAGGTTAACATTGACTGTTAAAAAGTGAACTGGCGTACATGATCTTCCAGTTAATGCCTTTTTCTTGATGTCACAGAGCAAATATCTTCACGTCACAATATCCTATGTCGCTCAATTCGTTTGATCAAAATTAAAGTTGAAGGATTCGGTTAGGTTTTGCAACCATGATTCCAAATTAAGATAAAGGCAAAGCATTACATTGTAAACATTCGAACAATCTTCATACTGACGATGGTGTTAAAGGCTTATTTTTGTGCAATGCGTTTACACAATTTGGTTACCGTGGTCTCGTGCTTGAAGCTCAGTATTTACTGTGTTTTGTGCAAATTGGTAAAAAGGCAACTTGTATGCTTTTTTAAAAATTTTCTTTCATCGTGAAATGGCAGTTCAATTTCCCGTTCGTCCGTGCACATACCATCTTTTTCACGACACTTACTGATTTAACTATTTCCGATATCGTATAATATGGAAAAGGATTTGTGAAAAATTATCTGAAGACGGAATTCTGAAACCTTTCCTTTTACTTACTTTAGGAACTTAACATTTTCTTTCAGACAAATTGTTACCCCTAACATAAAGGTTATTCAAAACCATCTTCACGTACTATACTCTGCGTCAACGATTTATATAAGACAACTACCCATTAGAGTCCAAATGACGTGGATTTACGTAACTATATGTAACCGTATTTGCCTGTTTCTTCACCTACTTTCAAACAATTTTTAAGAGTGGACTAGACAAGTACACAAGACGGTATTTATATACATGGGGTAGAACTAAAGTATTTTTCCAATCTTTCTTTGTTATCTTGGTCAAGTCATATCTTAATGTTTACTTACATATTTGGTATCAAAACAAGTAATGCTTTTAACATGATGCTGTTACGAAGTTTCCCAAAACGAACTCCTTTTAGACCCTATACATACATTTGTATATACGCCAATAGACTTCATTCAATAAATCTTAATATGCCAAATAAGAATATAATGGTTCAGGGGTGGAAATTTAACCATTTTCCTGATATAAGAACATTCTCAAATATCAGAGGCTTGGGATAACTCGGGGTCTATAGATTATTAAATTTATATTAATGGATCTAAGAGACTCATATCGAAAGATTATATCCTCCCTTTTCTCAGCATTCATAAAACTTATTAAACATTTAAATCAAAATGCATATAGGATCATATAGGTCATATAGTGTCGATATTTTCCAGAGTTGACTTCGTATACTTACCGAAGAAGCAACATGGCCTCCATGCGAACTTCTGTCAAGGTCATAACCTACAGTAGTAAACAAAACATCAGATTAGCAATAATTTCACACCAATTGTTAAATCATCATTGAATAGAGCAATGACATAGTTTATAGAGATTGATCAAATATCTCTCACTGGTATAAGTTTCAACATGTAGAGGAAAAGGTATTTTTGCAAACGGAAGTCGTTGATTGGTACCAAAAGTTGAAAAGTTCGATAATTTTCAGGAATCTACCTTTATTTGAATGGAAACCATTGAAGACGTTCTGAAAAACGTGCATTTTGTCACCATTACAAAATAAAGATGCGTTTTACAACCAATCAGTTAAGAAATATCGACCGCAAGTAGGCAACACCTACTTCATTTTATTATCCAAGTTTAAAAATAATAACAAAGTGTTTTCTTTTACACGTTTTATAACTTCATTTTAACATGTGAACAGAAGATAAAGATTTTTTCTAAAAAAAATCAGCATGAATTTCAATGATCTTTGTTAACAGAAATAAATATTCTTAAACGATACCCACGGCCATCGAGTGTTTTGGATTACGTACGTATTCACCAGCTCTATTAATCAAATATCATCTAAAAGCAGTGTAATATACCATTGAAAGTTAACTTTCAGAACAATATCAAAAACGTATGTTGCACTCGTCGTCACTCGAATATAACTATTCTCTCGCTACAGAAGCAGGATACCAGGAGAATATGTACTTATACTATACGTATATCGCTTCCTGTTACCTGTACCGCTGTATTTATATGGTAGAAAGGGCGATTTCAGAATGAATGGCGAGACGTACAAACACGTGTGCTATTCTTTTAATCAGTTACGAATCCTTCAACGTTATTACTTTCCAAACATTAATTGATTTCATACGAAAATTACGTACCAACGTTCTTGAGGTTGTCAAATACTATGTGAATAGTACCTAAAAATAAATTGTGTAAAAATTATGATGATATTGATAAACTAATATAATGTTAAGTCACCAGGTTGTCAATATTAACGGAATATTTTAATATTCACCTCGAAAGTGTAACATAACTGAGAAATCAGAACAAAATCCGCATCTAGTGTGAAACTTGAAAGCATAAACACATCCAAGAGTTCTAAAGATATGCAGTCTTATAACAAAAAGTTCCAAAGTTGCCTACCTAGGGCAAACGAATCATTACAAAGAGTTCCAAAGTTGCCTACCTAGTGGCAAACGAATCTTTACAAAGAGTTCCAAAGTTGCCTACCTAGTGGCAAACGAATCATTACAAAGAGTTCCAAATTTGCCTACCTAGTGGCAAACGAGTCATTACAAAGAGTTCCAAAGTTGCCTACCTAGGGGCAAACGAATCATTACAAAGAGTTCCAAAGTTGCCTACCTAGGGGCAAACGAATCATTACAAAGAGTTTCAAAGTTGCCTACCTAGGGGCAAACGAATCATTACAAAGAGTTCCAAAGTTGCCTACCTAGGGGCAAACGAATCATTACAAAGAGTTCCAAAGTTGCCTACCTAGTGGCAAACAAATTAGGCTCTTATGTCAGTACATGTATTTGGCTTTTTTAATGAGCATACTTTTCCTGTGGTGAATATTACTAAAAAATTAGGTTACGTTTAGAATCAACAGAACATGTAGCAAAAGTAATTAAACATATAAAAAGTGGAGATTAATCCAGCATAAAAGTACCTGTGGTTGACCAAGCTTAGGCCTGTTACATTTGTTTATCTTACAAACAACATTAATGATAACTATACTTGAAACTGGTGAATCATCAGAAGGAAAAGAATATATCCCCAGTTCTCAGTAACGTTCGTGTTACTCAATCTTTAGTTTAATCTATAATGTTTTGTATATTTTTGCTGGTCTGTTTTGTCTATTTTATCTAATGCCTTTGATATTTTCTTTTGTCCGCCAAAACAGACAGCTTTGACAATATAATAAGACATAGTAGGCAAACATAATACCAGTATACAAATCATAAAAAGAACGGTAACTCTTACAAAAAAAAAAGGAATATAACGTACCGCTCCTGCCATCTTCGCCCTTATCGCCACATGGACCTTTTTTTCCTGGTTTACCATCACGACCATCCTTTCCGTCTTTTCCGTTCCGTCCATTGTCTCCTGCCTCACCTTTGTCTCCTTGATCTCCCCTTGGACCTTTTGGTCCCCATGGACCTAAATGAATTTAAGTATTTAAAAATGAATACACATTCCGGACGCAGTTTAATCCACGAATACAATTTGTTTGACACTAATTCCTTGTGTTGTCTATTTTTCTGTATTTCTGTATTGGTTTTATTGTATCTTCAGTCACAAGATATATGAGGTAATATTTTATATAGATGAGGGTCTGGAATCGGGGTCCTTCATTTCTGTATTCTATAAAAAGTTTTACCATTATCTATATCCTTTAAACTGTTTTTCTTAATCTTTATATTTTTGCCTTTATTCTGCCCTTTTTGTTCATTATTCTCTATTCAGTCAACCCATCCAGACCCTCATAGATAATGTGTGTACACAAGACAAATCAGTGAAATGTATTCCAAGTCAAATAGTTTAATTCATTGTGCATGTGTACGAACAGAAGTCTTCGCGTTTGTTCTATGTTCACATCAGAAGTCTTGACAAAGACCTTTGAACTGTAGTGTACTTTGGGCTCTGTTCGACAGTGACTGTACCAAGATAATAATTTACATTATCATATACTTAGAGTAAATAACTTATGATTTTTACAGTAAAATAATAGCATTAAATTTACGTGAATTCCATATTTTCCGAAATGGTGCCAAAATAGCGGGCTGATATGAACAATTTATCAACTGCTTTCGGCTATTATCGCATGCCTTTCCATAACGTTATCGCATGGCATTCCGGCGATACTTGGCAAATTCCGGAAAATACATCTCAATGGTTTTCAGTGAAAAACATAATAAAGAAGGGTGCAAAACAAATATTAGGAAACAGGAAAATATATTAATATATGTAAATGCAAAACAAATAATACAATAAATGCAAGTTTCCGGTATAATTTAGCAAGTTACTTTACAAATGTTGACTTTTCCGACCAAACAGTGTTCATTTTGTTTTCTTGATTTTTTTTTTATCGTGAAAGTAAAAATATATTATACTGTTGTTTTTCTCCTCTGTTGATGCATATGATAGACAGATTTCATGTCGGATATATTACATTTGGCGTCCGTCGTCCGTAAACTACTTTTCACTTTTTGAACTTCTGCTTGAGAACCACTTAAAAGGATCAATATATTAAACTTTTATTTTTCTCCATTGTTGAAGTATATGATAAAAAGATCATAACATGTAATTTTTCATATCAGACCCCTTATCAGCCCATGGCCAAAATCATCCCTCGAGCCTGTCGGCTCTCGGGCTGATATCATGACCTAAGGCTGATAAGGGGTCTGATATGAAAAATGCCATGTTATAATCTATATATAACATGACATTTTTCATATCAGATGTATTATCAGCCCCCGATCAATACCAGCCCTCGAGCCTTCGACTCTTCTTGGGCTGATATTGAACCTTGGGCTGATAATACATCTGATATGCAATATGCCATGTAATAATCTGATACTCTCCAATTCCTTCTTTGTCGTTTTTCACACCAATCCTGTGACATGTCGTAAATGTAAGACGTCATTAAGTTAAAGTACTTACCCTGTGGTCCTTTGTCTCCTACGGGACCTTTAGGACCGGGTTTACCGTTGCGTCCAGGTATACCATCTTTGCCATCCTCCCCTGGAATACCCGGTGCTCCCATTTCACCTGGTTGGCCTGGTAAACCATTTGGACCAGGAAAGCCAGGCTCGCCTGTATTAAATATTACAATTGAATGTCATTTTGTATTCTTTTATTTTTAGACCAATTCTATATATTCTTTTTTTTTTCTGATTAATCTCAATTCTTTATTTTTCAGCATCCATAATTCTCTATTCTTTATCTCATGTCCCATTTTCTTTTCTCTGTTATCTTTAAATTGATCCGTTATCTCTTTTCGGGAAAACACACCCAGTCCCTCTTAATGGGTTGTTTTATATATCGAGTTACTCCAAAATACACATTATCAGTTCGTGAATGTCTGTTTATTGTAAATAACAGGAGACGTACGAAAAGCAACAACAATTTCTATAACTTATCTCATTTGGCGCTGTGTGTCATGTTTGTTCAGTGGTGTGTCATGTTTGTTCAGTGGTGTGTCATGTTTGTTCAGTAGCGTGTCATGTTTGTTCAGTGGCGTGTCATGTTTGTTCAGTGGTGTGTCATGTTTGTTCAGTGGCGTGGGTGTAGGCAGAAAAGAGCGAGTAGGCAAACTTCTGAAAGTGACAAGGTTAAAAAAACAACAACAAAAAAACACACAAAAAACCCTTCTATAATCTTATAGTTAGTGTTTTCTTTTTAAATTTTCATTTTTTCAATATTTATTTTCGGCCAAAAAAATGTGGGAGAGGGGGGGGGGGGGGGGTGGTGGGATTGCATTATCTCCTTGCATTCCGGTTCTTTCGGTCCTGTTATTTATTTCTTGAATTTATTATTTACTTCTAATGTTTATTTTATGTTTGGTTTGTCTACGCATTTAAGAAAAAGACTACATCTGACAATAGTACATAGTTTGTGTGCTTGCATATACATTTGTATGTCCATTTGAACATTCTAATACATTGTATGGACAATGTCGACTAGTGCGAGCTTTGATATACATGAGTGTCATACTCATGTACAATGTATATCTAAGCACACACTGGGTATTTCCAGAAATGTGATGTCAAATAAAAAAATATGTGGGCATGCCTTGATATTTTGTTAACCTGTCCAAACCACATTGCTGTCGATGTCATAGTTATGAGTAACCCTACAATACTATATATACAGCCAACCATTAGTGTAAACTTCTCAATAACAAGTGTGTATGGGGAATAATAGTGTATGATGAAAGGGTGCATGGAAATGGTGTAAGTTTATACTATTTAAGGAATGAACTATACTACAAAATGTATGACTGATTTCGGTAACATTGTTCGTGTTTACATTATACTATAACCAACTTATATAAGTTCTAATAATATGATGCGTTCTGGTCATTATTATGTAAACAAGCATTGTGAGAGTAATGCATTGCAATACATAGTGCCCTACCGGTTAAAAATTTATTGTACTGGAGCAAAATGACAAAGAAATTATGGAAAACTGATTACTTGTATGTATTTTCTAAGTCAAAGGACCATAACTCTGCAAAAAAAAATCATCTGAACGGAATAAAATTCGAACTTGATCTATAACTTGTAATGGTTAAACTATATAACAAATTTCAAATCAATATCTTCAAGCATGACGAAAAAAAGTGTGGAAAACTGATTACTTGCATGCATTTTCTAAGTCCGAGGACAATAACTCAGCACAAAATCATCAGACCGTAACAAAATTCAAACTTGATCTGTAACTGGTCATGATAAAACTATATATCAAATATCAAATCAATATCTTCAAGCACAAAGGAAAAAAGTGTGGAAAACTGATATGCCAGACTGACGGACGGACAGACAGACGGACGGCAAACATAAAGTCCCCTTCGGCTTTGCCGGTAGGGCACTAATAAAAGGAGATGTGGATAAACGTCAATGAGACAGTATCTAACGACACTAAAACGACATAAGTATCCCTTTCACACTATGACGTTTTTTTTTCAAATACGGGTTCGACCCCAGGTCCGAATCTAGGATTTTGGAGAGGGAGAAGTGACTTCTCCTTCCATGAGAGAATAGGAAGAAGTGGTTAAATTCCTGGAGAAGTGAAATTCCATTACCGTTTCGGACTTTCGGTTGCGTAGTGCTTTCGTGTTTATCATTAAGGAAATTGTTTTATATATATATGCATTAGCAAATATACTTGCAGTGTTTTAAAATGATATTGTATATACTGAAAATTCTTAATAAAAAAAGTTCAGACAAAATAGTTGTTATATATTTAGTCAAATCATGTGTAATGTCAACTTGAATTAAATTCCAATAACATATATCATGCATTAATCTCATGTGCATCTGCCTCAATTTATTCTTAAAAGTCTAGAATATATGACTTCCAGTTTATCTGATGACTTGGGAATTTGATTTATATCACCACTTCTTGTCATAATTTTGTAAAACATTTTTGAATGTCCTGGACATCATTTCAGTTGTAATTTGAGATTCTCGTGAATGGTTTTAGAACTTTCAATGAAGATATCTGTCAATCACGTACTATACATTAACTGATAAAGAGTTAATTTTCATTATTTCTGTTATAAAAGATATCTCTCTTATTACGAGTTGTTCGTTAAAAAAAACACACTGCTAATCACAAGTTGACCACGCATCGTGCGTTTAATTGCAATCAAATTATCCATCAGCTGTGAGTAACAATTTGACGCACTTTTTAGGGAAAATCCCAAAATGGGGTAAGTGTGAACCGGGGTAATTAACTATCCCGCTTTCGACCTGGAGCAGATTTAATAGTGTGAGCTGGGTGTTAGTTGTCAACATGAGTTGACGTCTCCAACAAAAAACAAGTGTTATAATATAACAAGCTCTAATTCACCCTGAATCTAGAAAAGTTCTGAATAAATTAAACAGAAAAAATGCAAGATCAGCCATCAACACCAAACTTCTAAAATGACAAAAGATTGTGCTCTCCCTTAAATGACTCTTTGATCTATCATTGTTGGCGTAGATAAAGGCAGGTACAGTCATAAACATATAACTTAGTACAGCCATAATCATATAACTTAGTAAAGCCATAAATATATACATTAATACAGCCATAAACATATACATTAGTACAGCCATAAACATATACATTAATACAGCCATAAACATATACATTAATACAGCCATCATAAACATATACATTAATACAGCCATAAACATATACATTAATACAGCCATAAACATATACATTGATACAGCCATAAACATATACATTAGTACAGCCATAAACATATACATTAATACAGCCATAAACATATACATTAATACAGCCATAAAAATTTAACTTAGTACAGCCACTGCCATGTTTCCTGTTATGTTAACATTTTAAAAGGGAGAGAAGGTGCCAAGGGGTCAATAGAAAGTCATAAGTCTAACGAAACCAGACAAACATGAACAAACAATAACAAACATTACACAAAAAAACTAAAGATTAAACAACTCGAACCAAAACATGCACCACAAGTGACGACCGTGGTTTTGCTCATATAAATACAATTCCGGTATCAAATTGTTCGTCATTTCTCAATCTAGCCGAATTTGTCCGATTTTTAAATTAGTACTTTAATATGCATTGATGTTATTTAAGCGAACATTTGGTATCATATGTTGTATCATAATTACCTCTACTTCCAGGATCTCCTCTTTTACCTTTCTTACCAGGGATACCATTCATTCCAGGAATTCCATCAGGACCCTTCGCACCATCTTCACCTTTGCTCCCTGGTTCACCCGGAACACCTGGGTTTCCTGGTTTTCCATCAAGTCCGTCGCTACCGGGCATGCCTGGATTACCAGACTCACCTTTTTCGCCGTTGTTTCCTCTTGGACCTTTTGATCCCATTTCACCCATTGGACCTTTATCACCCATTTCACCTTTGGCACCGGGCATTCCATCAACGCCGGGATTTCCTGGAGTTCCAGCTTCACCACTAGGACCTCTTGATCCTCTTTTACCTTGTATACCTTCATCACCAGGCATACCTTTATTTCCCGCTTGTCCTTTTGCGCCCATGTCGCCTCGCGGACCTTTCAAGTAGAATTAAGAACACGCTGAAGTATAATCTTTTTATCAGTACGACATAAAAGGATAAATGCAATATGATTGCCAATGACACAACTATCTACAGAAGAGCACTGAACGAGGATGTAGACAACATTATGGGCACTGTTTCGGCCTTCATCAATAAGCAAATCACCATACCGTCAAGTCATTAAAAAGGCCTCGGTATGACAAAATATGAAATACTTCAAAAGAGAAAACCAATTACCAGATTAATGCCTTAAACAACAAACGAATAACAAATACAACAGAGAGCAACCAAATGAAACCACCGATAACAGGATCTTGCATTGGGACAGAAAAATAAAGAATGTGGTGGGCTTAATATGTTTGTGAGAGTTCAATCCTTCCTTAACCTAGGACAGTTGTATAACTGCAGAACGAAAGAACAAACTATAATAACAATAAGTTTGAAAAGGATTGACTCATCACAGAACGCCACACAAATCCCAAACAGAAATAAAAACTAAACAAGATACGGGTACTAGCAGTTGCTGAAAGCTAGTTAAAAGCACATTCCTATTAATAAATAAACCATATTTTCACAGACTGAATTTATAATTATTAGAACTCATTCTGAGAAAAGTATTGCCTTGTGCATATACATAACATATATTTGTTCAAACTCTTGTATGCCGAAAAAACATGCAAAACTCAAAACTCAATAATAAACTTAAATTGGGATATTGTGACTTTTGTACCCAAAAGGAAAATTGATAACTTAGTTCTAAATCAAAAATACGAATATCAAAAACTGTGTTTGCTTGAAAAAGATAAAAAATCAGAGTTAAGTCAATAATAAACTGAAATGAGGATAACTATATATCATTCATGAAATTACCTTTCTTGCCGTCAGTTCCTGGTATTCCATTAGGTCCTGGATTACCTGCTGGTCCAATCATTCCAGTAGGACCCTGAAGTCCTGGACCACCATCAGCTCCTTTATCTCCTGGTGGTCCCTTATTCCCTCTCCTTCCTTTCTGTCCCGGCATACCCTGGTCACCGGGAACTCCTTTTTCTCCTGGTTCACCTGGATTTCCAGGTATACCATTGTTTCCGTCTTTACCATTAGCTCCAGGTATTCCCATGTCTCCCATGCCTCCTTTCTCTCCTTTACCACCTGGCTCTCCATTCATGCCCCGATATCCTTTAGGTCCTCTTCCTCCCTTTTTTCCAGGTTCGCCTGGCGTTCCATCCATTCCGTTAGGTCCTGGCATTCCCGGATCTCCCGGTGAACCTTTGTCACCCATTTCTCCTTTCATACCCCGATCCCCTGGTTCTCCTTTCATTCCTTGTTCGCCTGGTTCTCCTTTCGTGCCCTGAGTGCCAGATGGCCCTCTGCTACCTCTCATTCCTGTTTGACCCATCATTCCTTGATCTCCTATAGGTCCCTTATCTCCCATTTCTCCTTTATCCCCAGGTTCACCTTTTGTACCCGGTCCACCATTCATTCCGCCTGGACCTCTTGGACCTCTTGGACCCATTGGACCTATAGAAAAATATTGGAACATGCGTCAAGAAATTTTTAAATTCCAAAAAACTTGATAAAAAAATAAAAAAAATAACTTAATTGTTCTACACTTTGTTAAAAAATACCATTGGAAGTGTATATACTCAACCAAAGATCAACACATGTGGCTGTTCGTTCCGACTAATTGAGTTTAAAGGAGGAAAATGAGTAGCTAGTCCTACCCGGCATCTTGTTTATGTATCTTTCCTAGGTCATTCATGACACCGGTGATTGTATATGGGTACGCTAAATAGTTATGTTATTCCTTTAGGGGATCTAATTCTATTTTACATCAGTGCTATGGTCGGTTTGTTGTCTCTTTGACACATTCCCATTTCCATTCTCAATTTCATGCATATTTTCTTACTCGTTTGTAAGTCGAAGCGCTTTAGTGCTTGAAATATTGTACAGACATCTGTCTGTTCTAAAAACAGTATGCTGATCTGTCATTTCTTTTTTATTTTTGTATTTGTGTGGCCAGTGGTGGTTCCGGAGGGGGAGTTCCGGGGGTTGGAACCTCCCCTTTTTTACGATCAATGTTTTTGAATGGGGACATATGGTTGGAACCCCCCCTTCCTATCCTGGGTTTGAAATACCCTTTTAAAAATGGCTGGATCCGCCCCTGGTGACTGTCTCTTTGTCGCAAACCCACTTTTCTATATAGTCGAATATTCGAAAAAAAAACTGTAACTATGATTTAGTTTACGATCAGACTCAACAGATTTGTACCTTGCATGCCCGGTTGTCCTCTTGACCCTGTGTCACCTCTAGCTCCTCTCTCGCCAGGTTGACCCACAGCACCAGATATGTCAATTATATGAATCGTTGTGTCTATCATTTGTTCTAAAAATATATACAATGTAAAGACATGACATTCACCATCAATGTTTTTTCTTAAATTCAACGCACTTCTACATTTACTTTGACCAAGATGACATATTTTGAAATATTCTTACCAGGAAATCTAGATCTAGTTCGCATCATTGAATGGCTAACATCCATTAACAACAACATTATTAATTGACATGTAACATTTCAAACAGCGAAAGAATATCACTGGACTTGAAAATCCGTTATCTAACTGTGCTTACCTTTTATCAATACTCAAAATTCTTTTTCTAGGATTTGCATCAAAGAACTTTACTTTAAACTGTTTTAATTGGTCTCTTTGATTACTATCTAATTCGGATGTCACGGATTTTTTTTTTAAATCTATTTATCCGCTGCAGTTTACATTCTCAATTGATTGTGATCTTATTAGGATGTTACCGATTGGTTTTTTTTATCTGCTACGGTTTTCGTACTGAAGCGGACTTTGTCGATCAATTTCGAACTAATCTCATGTTGTCGGTCGATTTCGAACTAATCTCATGTTGTCGATCAATTTCGAACTAATCTCATGTTGTCGATCAATTTCGAACTAATCTCATGTTGTCGATCGATTTCGAACTAATCTCATGTTGTCGATCGATTTCGAACTAATCTCATGTTGTCGATCGATTTTAAAGAAAACAATATTACCTTCACATGCGGTGGCTACAATAGCCTCTCGTATTGTAAACAGTGATGTTACTGATGCAACATGGAAGACTAAACTTGGCGCTGACGCTATTTCAACAAGCTGTGTCACGTTAACTGCGGTGCCGACGCCTATGACCATTATGGTTACACCTTGAGCTTTTAATATATTGGCTTGTTCCACCGGATCTGGTTCACGATTATTTCTACCATCAGTTAGAACGATAACTAATTCTCTGACACCACGTCTCTGTCCGCCATTTATCAACAGAAAACTGTTCATGCGAACAAACTGAAATGTTATGTGTGATTGTTTATTATGTATGTGCATTTCTAAATAATTATTATATCTAATCATTGTGGCAACACTGAATAACAAAAAAAAAAACAACATTAGGTTAGATTGGGACGTTTCAGTTGATATTTGATTGGTTTCTTGGAAAGCGTGCCCAGAAACGTTTTGATTGGTTAAACATCACAAACCATTGGAAAGCGTGCCCAGAAACGTTTTGATTGGTTAAACATCACAAACCACTGGAAACCAACATCATGATGTTGTTTTCCTTTTCGGCTACAAATAATGCAAATATCCATTTTTTTAGATTCTGAAAGGATTCTTTCTGATAAAGGATCGCAGTGTATAGTTGAACTTTTCACAACTCAATCTTCCGGTGCGATCAATAAGTTACGAATGATAAACACTGGTTTAATCTTACCATGATAACTGGAGGTTAATAATATACAATTATTGACTTTTGATGAGGTTGATACAATGATTTATCAACCCAAGAGATATGATATTCACCGAGGCCAACGACCGAGTGTGCATGTTATATCTCTAAGGTTGATAAATCATTGTATCAAATGAAATCAAAAGTCAACAATTGTTTTATAATATGACTATTTATCTTTCTCCAATTTTCTAGTATTTGCTCAAGATACTTTTAAATCTGCTCCCCGTTTTTATACTAAATATATTATCTGCATTTGCAGCTGTTTATTTTTACAAGTTGAAATATTCGATAAAGTTTATTAAAAAAATACACCGAAAACAAGAACAAAAAAAAAGAGAAAATAGAGGCTTCCAAGAGCCTGTGTCGCTCACCTGATTCTATTTTGGTTTTGGAAATCAAGTAAAAATAGATTAAAATCATAACATATACCCATACTAATGATTGAGGTCAAATTTGGTTTAATATTGGCCCCTTAATTTAATCAAAAGCAGAAGACTTTTGTAAATTTGTAGAAAATGACTTTATAAGGACAATGACAAATCAGCTACAAAGTAACAACACTTGGTCAGCTTCTCAAAAGAAACATTCATTTCATGTTTGGTTTCAATCCATTAAGCGGTTTTCTTGAAGAAACATTTGTATATATTTCCTGTAGGGTCCTATGTTAAACTAAGTTTCCCGCTGGCAGCCATCTTGGATGACTGATTGGCTATAAAGTAACAACACTTGGCCAGCACCTCATTAGGAACATTCATGCCATGTTTGGTTTCATTCCATTCAGTGGTTCTCTAAAAGAAAACATTTGTATGTATTTCGCATAGGGTCCTATGTTAAACTAAGTCCCCACTGGCGGCCATCTTGGATGATTGATCGCCTACAAAGTTACAACACTTGGTCTGTAACTCATTTGGAACATTAATGCCATGTTTGGTTTCATTCCATTCAGTGGTTCTCTAAAAGAAGACATTTTTATGTATTGTCCATAGGTTCCTATGTTAATCGAAGTTCCCCGCTGGCGGCCATCTTGGACGATGGATCGGCTGCAAAGTAATAACACTTGGTCAGCACCTCATAAGGAACATTAATGCCATGTTTGGTTTCATTCCATTTAGTGCTTCTCTAAAAGAAGACATTTTATGTATTGTCCATAGGGTCCTATGTTAATCGAAGTCCCTCGCTGGCGGCCATCTTGGATGATGGATCGGCTACAAAGCAACAACACTTAGTCAGGACCTCATTAGGAACATTCATGCCATGTTTGGTTTCATTCCATTCAGTGGCTCTCTAGAAGAAGTTCAAAATGTAAAAAAGTTAACGACGACGACGACGACGGACGCCAAGTGATGAGAAAAGCTCACACGGCCCGAAGGGCCAGGTGAGCTAAAAATACACCAAAAACAAGAAGAAAAAGACGGGAATTACAGGACGTCATAAACCAACGTCATTGACGTTGCCTTTGAATATCTATATTTAGGTACACGGACGCTGTTCCAAATCTTATAAATTTAACCTCTCGTGATTTTTGCCGCGGTGAATATTATACAATTATAGCCTTTGTATGAGGTCGATACGAGGTTATATCGACCTGAGAGAAGCATATGGACTGAGGACGAAGTACGAGGTCGATATGCTTTTCTAGGTATATAACACGGCCTAAGGAAGACTTGCATGTCATTTGTAATGTAACGTGTAACCGGGCGGAGTTCGTACCAGTTTCCTGGGATTTAAAGAGCAATGCAAAATTCAAAAGTCAAACAGTTTAAGCTATACTACTAAATATAAAACAAATACTACATAAAATGAATTTCAACACCTAATCCGAACCTGGTAAATTAAAACTGTTTAAAACCCTTTCAGTCTGATAATTGTTAAAAACCAAATGTTTGGAACTATAGGCTGGAACCTAAATGTATGGAGCCGGGCTGAAACCTAAATGTATCAGTGAAACGGGGCTGAAACCTAAATGTATGGAGCCTATTAGAAAACTAATGTATGAAACAAATTTGAACTATGTAAACTTTCGTATGGAACCTTATTAAAAAATATGTCTATAACTGTTGGAATTACAGGGTAGCACTAAGGCATGGTTTATCAGCAAACACTCACTGCAATAGTGAGAGATGTGAAACGCAAAACATTAGCAGCAGCCCTGTTTCGACAATTTGTACCGAACAAACTGTCTCAGCCTATCCTATATCCTGTCAGCAGGTTTCAAACAGTTCATTTTGTTTAACTAACGTGCTGCTTTCTTTAAACTGTTTACTTTCCTACCTTTCTAATCTGCTTCTTTAAACGTCTCCGGTACAAATGACAACATTACTTTTCTATTTTTTATGACAATATTCCATGTATTGCAATGGAACCTTGTACATGTAGCTGCAGTAAAATGTACTACACTAGACTGTTTCCAAGAACAGATCCCAATATCTGTTCTCAACAAACACCTACACATTTAAATTAATATAACACTGTATATAGTTTTAACCAAAACGTATAGTACAAAACAGAAGAAAAAGAAAATTACTTTGAACTTTTATTTGTATATATCTAACTGTAAATATAGAAATTATATAACCCACGCACGCGCGGCATAGTGACATTAGTGCTCGGCACGTTATCATCAGTTTGTTGACGGAGTGCTGAACTATAAAGAAGAAGAAGACAACATTACTAAGAAGCTACCTTCTATTTATACTAGGAACGCGGACCTCGAAGAGAGCACATAGCAACAACTGTACAGGTAAAGCGTCTTATAGCAACCAAGGATAAAGGGATGATTTTCGATGCCGTTTTCAACGAAAAAAAGATCAAATTGAAAAAGTCATAGAGAAATCGGAAAATACATAACTGTAGAAATGTTATAATATTCTTAAACTGTAAATTCGTAATTGTAATATCAGTATATAACATGGCCAAAGGAAGACTTGCATGTCATATGTAATATGAATGTGTCCATAGTACACGGATACCCCACTCGCACTATCATTTTCTATGTTCAGTGGACCGTGAAATTGGGATCAAAACTCTAATTTGGCATTAACCAATGAGAAACAAGAAAAATCAAACCATATGTACTATATACTGATATTACATATGACATGCAAGTCTCCCTTTGGTCATGTTATATACTGATATTACATATGACATAGTAAGTCTTCCTTTGGCCATGTTATACACTGATATTACAAATGACAAACATGTCTTCCTTTGGCATGCATGTTATATACTGATATTATAAATGACAAGCATGTCTTCCTTTGGCCATAGCGGTCATCACGTGACTTTTACACCTCAGTTGTATATCATTAATGGCCGATTGATTATCAATGGAAATGAACGGGGTACATAGATTAAACGGTCATAACTTTTTTGTTACATTGTGTATTTTACCTCCCAACCCCGCGTTTTACAGTATATTGATTTTTACAATTAAAAATGTTTTAAGTTTCAGTTCAAATATATGATTTCTTGCTTCAAAATAAGTTTGAAAATTGAGGTGACATAACCACACAGCTGCCGTTGACTTCTTCGTTAAAACTCGATAAAATTGCAATGGGACCTTCTTATATAATCAATTTTCTCAAGTTATTTATTGTTACTTATAAATATCCTCCCAACCCCTAAACAGATCGACAACATATTCATATAAATGAAATCGAAAACCATATCAGTTTAGGTATCAAACTTTTTGCTTCAAAATTTGATTGAAAAGTTCACATTATGGCATTCGTTAGCAATATTTAAAAAATTGCAGCCGCTGTTGGAAGTAAACAACGACACGACATGTATTTATTTAGTTATTAATCAAAAAGTAATATTTCAAATATTCATTGAAGTGTGTCTTATTGTATTTAAGAAATTTCTTATTTCACCTTTTCTTTAATATATTTATTAGAAACAGTCTCTCGCTCTCAAAATAAAGATTTATATGCATTAATCATGCAGTTTACATTGACAGCTTGGGTCGACTTGTGAAGATATATTTTGTAAGATTTTTACGATGAAAATGGAATAAATGTTGGATGCATGCGTTTTCAGTAATTGTCTTACCTTAAAGCAGCATCGAATGAAACGTTGTTTCTCTGTGTTAAAGTCGATATATGCTGTTTGTTTTGATAAGATTTCGAAGTTACGTAAAAAATGGCGACCAAATAATTTTCAAACGTAGACGATGTTCGACACCAATTTTACCCATTCAAACAATTCAATTTGATTTCACTGTTGATATTGCAATTAAGTATGACACGTTATTGTCACTTTAAAAATACCCACAAGGATATAGCTAGATTAAGGAGATATTAAGTCATCACCGTGATCAAAGAAAACAAACATGGCACCTAATCACGATGTAAGTTTTGACAAGACCTGTGTGCATGTAGATTAATATTGTTCAATTCTTAAAGAAATTATTTTATGCTATTATTTCATATCAATAAAAGAAAACCTCGAATGGATGGTAACCGAGGTGAAGTATCTATATTTTACAATTTTCTAATCATCACACTTATTAAACCAGTAACATGCAGAGTTATCGAACGTAACTATGACTGGAATAGTTGCATATGATGTCATCCTTTGGCCATGATATATACTGATATAACATATGACATGCAAGTCTTCCTTCGGCCATGTTATATACTGATATTACATACGACATGCAAGTCTTCCTTTGGACTAGTCCAAATAATTATGACGTCTTGAAAGGCCATTATATTTACAGCGCTGTAAGGCGTCAAAGCAAAAAAATATAATAGCCTTTCAAGACGTCATAATTATTTGGACTACCTTTGGTCATGTTATATATTGATATTACAAATGACAATCATGTCTTCGTTTGGCCATATTATATACTAATATTACATATGACATGCAAGTCTTCCTTCGGCCATGTTATATACTGATAATACAAATGACAAGCATGTCTTCCTTTGGCCATGTTATATACTGATATAACATATGACATGCAAGTCTTCCTTTGGCTCTCATATGTTATATCAGTATATAACATGGCCGAAGGAAGACTTGCATGTCATATGTCATTTGTAATATCAGTAAATAATATGGCCAAAGGAAGACATGCATGTCATTTGTGATATCAGTGTATATCATGACCAAAGGAAGACACGCATGTCATTTGTGATATCAGTATATAACATATGAAGCCAATATCATTGTGAAAATCGCAAGGTTACAACCAATCAAACATTCCTATATTATAATGTAATTAAGAGAGGCGAAAGATACCAAAGTGATACTCAAACTCGTTAGTCGAAAACAAGCTGACGAAAAAAAACCCCGAAAAACTATGAAAAGACAAACATCAGTCCACAAAACACAACATAGAAAACTAAAGATTGAGCAACGCAAAACCCACCAGAAACCTGTTAATTTGATAATTCAACTTCATTTTTGTTGTTGATGTTTCTGTTGTCTTGTCAAACTCGGCTAAACAAATGACGAATGCCTGAATCTTGCGTCAAACTTGAGGTTTCATGTCAAACTCGGCTAAACATTTGACGGATGCCTGGTTCTTTAGGTTTCATGCCGAAGTCTTTTGAATCATGAATAAATTCTTTAACAAGCTTTTTTTGGTAATACCTAATTGGGTGAAGACGATTACTATATTTTTGCTTACGTATTGCAATTATGTTGTTTTTATTTTCAATCAATCCCAGAGAAAATTACAATTCATTAAAAAAAAAAAACCAAAGAATTGTTTAAGAATAAGAAGATGTGGTATGATTGCCAATGAGACAACTCTCAACCAGAGACCAAACAATTTAGAAGTTAACAGCTATAGGCCATCGTTTGACAACATATTGTATTACTTTTTTTTAGATTTTTTTACCTGTAAACCTAAGCCAATTGCTGTTGCGGCTCCGTTTGAAGGTACGATCTGATCTATAGCACTCATTACACTAGCTCGAGATGAGTAATCTTTGAGGTAAAAGTGATTGGTTACTTTACTTGCAAAACACACAGAAGAAAATTGAGTTCCTGCATGAAAGAAACAGATGTCATATTGATAAGAAAATCGTGTATTGTCTTAGTATCCTTGTATAGTTACAACGTTATTATTGTTATTAGTAAGACTCAAACTAATTAACGACATTTTTACCACATCTTAGATTATGGTTTACCATCTACCTCGTCTGGTCTGCTAAGTACCGAGCATGTCCTATTCCGGAATATGACTGTTTTCGCGAGTGTGAATTTGCATTGCTCTTAAACGTGTCATAGTATTTATACATCCAACATTCATGTATTTAGTTATGATATTTCGTTTGTAATTCGGTTTGGATATTGTATTATGTCTTATCGTTTGTGGTTTGAATTCTATTTTAATTTTCTACATGTATTTAAAGTTAAGATAATCAATCAGCTAGTTCATTTATAAGATTAGTTTAATGCTACTATATGCACAGGATTTATTTGTTTTAACAGTTTTGTTTTAGAAGAAATACCGGTTAGAAAATACAAATAATTACACCATTACTAAAATATTCTTACAATGGTTAGAAAATACATAAAATAACACCATTACAAACTTAATCCCAATTTTATATTCTATTTTTAGAAATTTACCTGTGACGTCAATTTTTGTGTCGTTGATACATTCGTGCAACGCAAAGTTCATAATTCTATTGTGATGTAAATGGGAGGTGTCCGTTGTTATTCTGTGGTTTACGTGTTGTAATGTACTGTTATATTACTTATTTATTTATGTCTCTGTCCTGAGTGTTCTTGCGTTTAGTTGTAATGTATTCCTGTCACGTAATGTTGTAATTTTAGCGGTATTTTTAACATTGCCATATAAGCAGGAGGTTTGGCTAGCCATAAAACCAGGTTCAACCCACCATTTTTTCTTCAAATGTCCTGTACCAAATCAGGAATATGGCAGTTGTTATCAAATAGTCCGTTTCTATGTATGTTGGCGTTTGTTTTTGTAGCAGTTTAATGTTTATGTTGTTCCGTTGTTTTCCTCTTATAATTGATGTGTTTCCTTCGATTTTAGTTTGTGAGCCGGATTTGTTTCTGTTAAATCGATTTATGACTATTTAACAGCGGTGCACTACTGTTGCCTTTATTCAAAACGCATTAAAGTAACTAAAATCTTTAACACACACCCACATATTTAGCTGTTCAATATCAAGTGCAGGCTAAAATAAGTTTTACATGAGCTACGTCTTGAATAGTGATTACAGAACATAAACAAAAAAATGAAAGATAAAAAGTTAACAGCATTTAAATAGGTAGACAGGAATAATGTTTACCTTGACGTCCAATTTGTGTGAAAGAGCCAACTATGTCCTTCATGAAATCTTTCATTATGTTAAAATTTTGTGGATTGTTTCGGAAAATACTGTATGAATCATCGAACATAAACACGATGTCTTCTTGCCTTTCACAAGTAGGAATGACTGTTCTTCTGCTGCATTCTGTAAAAAAGAAAATAAAACTATTATTATTGATAATGGATATCACGTTTTGTTTACATTCTCATGATCACGAAGGAATTTTTCCCTATGTTTCATTCTGTAATTATCAAAATATAAACATATGTATCGAGGATGGATACCACATCTTCTTTACTGCAACGAAAAGAATTCAGCAGAGTTCTGTAAATACGCAAAATATTACCCGCGAGAATACTTATCGCTTCATCTCTCCTACCACCAGCGTGAAACAATATGATCAATATAATTTGAATAACTAAAAGTCTACCGATATTATCAAAGATAAATCCATTTTCTCTTTAACCGAACTTTGTGAACGTATCAAACATTATAATGTAATATACAAAAAATAAATAAGAATAAGCATACTAGAATCAATACCGTAATAATCATTGATGTTATCTCTGCAGTACTTCATACAGGTCTCGAGCTTTACTACATACAGTAACTTTACTATTTGTGTTTTAAGATCTTTTCATAGATTTTCAGGCAGCATTGATTTGATGTCCCCTTGTCATGCTTTGCTTCTTTAAAGTCATTTAGGGTGTAAAACAAAATCCCTAGGGCAATACTGTTCATGCCTTATATCTCCTTTAGACTCAGACAACAATATATCCTGATGTGATTTGTGTATCCTTGCTATCCCATTATACTTTATCTTTACACGTGACTTCTTCAAGTCCTTAACTAATAGCTAACAATGCGTTAAATGAAGTAACATGAAATACAAGATGAACCGTTGTTCATTTCCACACTGTCTTACCTTGACTTAGGACTTGTACAGGACACAAAACACCAAATTCCCTGATGAAAGATTGTGAATAACTTCTACTGCATTATATTTCACTGTAACTAATGCGAAACACAAACAAGTCTCTTCATAACCACACTTGAGACAATTCAATGTTAAGTCATGTTTTCCAACATACCTTACCTTATTAAATGAATGAATATGAAAAACAAGTCGTGAATCTGTCCAATACTGCCTCATCCTGACATGTGACCTATACAATTCCTGAGGTAATGGCAAGTGAAGCGTTACACAAATTGACATGGGTTACTATATAAATAACACATAGCTGAGAGGGTGAAAGAGCAGATTGTTACCCCGAGAAAACATTGTTTACCGGGGCGAAGCCAAGGTTGACAATGTCTTTTCGAGGGGAAACAATCTGTTCTATCACCCTTTCAGCTATGTGTTATTTAATTTATTATACTGAATGTTCTGTTATTGCTGTCTGTTAAATTTCAAATTCAAAGTAATTAACTATGACGTCTTGTACATAACAATCATCCCTACTTAATAAAGCGCACAAATGATCAAGCGTCTCTGTGAAGGGTAATAGAGTATTTGCCATGGGATAGAGTAAATTGTCTCCCTCGTATTAACAATTAGAATTCCGCATTTTGACATGATGCTACCAATTTATAACTTACCGTGATGCGTTACTTATGCACTGCCTGAGCAAATATATGTCAAGCGTCAAATGAGTATATATGAAAAACAAGATTATTTTTTGATGCTACCTATCATGTCTCATCTTGACACTTGACCCGTACACTCCCCATGCTAATGGCTGACAAGCGCTAAAAGAGTCTAAATGAAAAAAAATAAAATTAATTATTGATGCAGCTCGGCATGCCTTACCTTGACACGTGACCTGAACAATTCCAGAACTAATGGCTGGCAAAGCGTTAAACGAGTCGACATGGAACACAAGATCAGGTCTTGATGCTATACGATTTAGTTGGTTCACATCAGTTTTTGACCCAATACCTACTGCTACGATTATGACTCCATTATTTTTAAGAAGTTGTGCTTGTGAGATTGGTGGAGGCGGTACATTATTTTCACCGTCTGTCAATACGACAACTATTTCTCTGATTCCCTGTCTTCCACCACCGTTTAGTGGACTAAAACTGTGTTGGTATACATACTGAAAATACACAAAGAAAAAAGAAAACAAATTTTATGAATTGTATACGTCTGAAGCGCTTCCCCGGATTTACCTTCGCCAGGAACTCTCAATGCCGAATATTTGAAAACCAAGGATGTATCAAAACCGAAAGGGTTGAAGAGCTATATGACGAAAAAGGTTTCTTGATAATTTCGAAAATTCATAAACAGTAGTCAAGTTCACCTGTAGTCAGTTTGCACCTTTATCTATATTGGTTAATTTACCGATGGAATTTACGCTTAGAACGTTTTGTTGTTAAATCAATCTATATCCAAGGAGACTTTTGCCAACTGTCCATTTTTCATCCGTTTAGAGGCGGCACAAAAATCATGATTTTCATCTGAGCTCACCCTTCATATCTGTAAGTTGGACATCCCATTTTGTGTTCGTCATTAGATTTGAACAACCTTGTAAAGTTAGTTAGGCATTCTAATTCAGTTTTTTGTTTCTAACTTAAGGTTACATTTTAGTTGGCAGAACTGGGTTGTTCTTGGTTGGCATGCATCACATGAGCTGTAGAGTAGTCTATCAGTTGGCAATTCCTTTACTATGTTTGATTGGGATGACTGTTGTTCACTCTTTAGTTTTATGCTCAATGGTTTTGCCAGAGTTTTTGTCTTTTCTATTTTTCAACATCAGTGGATTTTTTTCGTTTACTTGACGATTGTTATGCTTCATTCTGTAGTCTTGGTATTACAAAATGTAACACGTGGCGAAGGTCATATGTCTTCAACAGAAGTAACGACTAAGAGTAATACTACACAAATATTCTTTTGTTGCATGTAACCCTCGACAGATAAGTCAATACCGGGATTATTTTTTATGGTCTTACATAAGGAAGTAATTTTTCAGATGAAGGATCAATGCTGGGTATGTCGGCATTCTAGTTTTTATAACTTTGAGTTCCCTGGCTTTTCCGATTTAGCCTAATTAGAGAATATTGCCAATTTTCATCCATTTTCTTTGCAAAATATCTTTAAGTACATCTAAACATTACACTTCTGTATGTTTTAAAGTTTTTTTTTTTATCTTTTTCCATTAGGTTTTGACCATAAAAACATCTGTATAAATACTCATAAATCAAGAAATCTTCTTATTAATATATATATTAATATATCTTATTTAGCTAATCTATGTCCTTTTATGACAACAATTTCAAAGCTTGTTATTTTGTATTTCAACCGTTAATAGATATAAGAAGATGTGGTATGAGTGCCAATGAGACAACTCTCCATCCAATCCAAAATTTATAAAAGTAAACCTTTATAGGTCAAAGTACGGTCTTCAACACGGAGCCTTGGCTCACACCGAACAGTAAGCTATAAAGGGCCCCAAAAATAACTAGTGTTAAACCATTCAAGCGGGAAAATCAACGGTCTAATTTATATAAAAAACGAGAAAAGAGAAACACTTATGAACCACATGAACAAACGACAACTACTGAACATCAGATTCCTGACTTAGGACAGGTGCAAACAAATGTAGCAGGTTTAAACGTTTTAATGGTACCAAACCTTCACCCTTTTTCTGACACAATAGTGTAACATCACAACATAGAAAGACACACTATAAAATATCAACTGAAATAGCTTAACTCAATCAAAGGACATATTAACACCAGTGAACATACACTGAACAAATAAATTTGTTAAACATGTACTTACCTGTAATCCTAGTCCTATACCGGTGTATTTTCCATGGGCTGACTGCAAAGAGTTTATTGCAGTTATAACACCAGCTTTAGTTCCATGATCTTTCAAGTAAAAACTGTTTATGACATGCCCGGAAAACCCTACCGCTGAGAACTGTGCTCCTTTAAAATTTAAAATATGAGATGATCAGACAAAATGCCAATTTATTACAAAGTAAACTTACGCAAATATATGGTGAATGTATTTCATATAAAAGGCGCTTACAATTATATTTCAGAAAAATTAATGTAAACGAACTATTTTGTTATAAAATTTGAAGACAAATCTCCTATATGGTGTCACTTGTTCAAAAGTAAAATCTTTCGGGAAAAAATCTCTGAAAAGAAATATGACATCTGATTATTGAATAAATGAATGAACGAATTCTTTATTGCAAAGCAGTAGTTACATGCTATAGCAACACAAACATATTTACATTGTGACACACAATAAATAGTGTATATTAACATACCTGATGATCCAATGTTCGAGAAGGACATCACGATATCTTTCATAAATTCTTTCATTCGTTCAAAGTTAGAGGGATGGTTTATCACTATACTGGCTGAATTATCATATAGAAAAACGAAGTCTGCTTTCTTAGTACAACGACGTGAACCTAGAATCAAAGCAAATAATACAGATCTAAATAGATGTTACTTAACATCTGGGCTTATTCCTGGTGTTGTTTAATCTTCAGTTGTTTGTTCAGTGTTTGTATTTTTGTCTTTTTGGGGTTTTTTGTTCATGTAGTTTTCTGCTTAATCTTCTGGAGCACTTGAACACATCTCCGGTTTTCGATGGAGTTCGGATTGGTTTGGTCCTTCTTTTATTTTTCTGTGTGGTTTCCAGGTTTTGTTATCTGTTGTTTGTACTTTCGGCGTTTTGCTTTTGTCATGTGGGCGTTGTACGTTATTCTCTGACTTACGGTTCCGAATTGCCTGTTATGTTCTTTTCATTTTTTTTCTCTCGAACCAAGCAATTTTTTTTAGAAAAGAATTGGCGTTATGTTTGTACATTGGACAAGAGGTGTGGGGAGACCTTTTTTCGGAACTTCGGGATGAGATGTTTAAATCTGGAATAACCAGTTTAATCGTCGGGTATTCGGGATTTTCAGAATAGATTTTATCGTGAAGCGGGAACGAACACATTTTTGTCACGGGAATTCGAAATAATAACCCCTCCTACCCCCTCAGCCAACGATTACGGAAAAAATAAACAAACTAAGGAAAAAGAAAGGCATTTTTGTTCCTCATCCTGTTCTTTGGCAAAAATAAAACTTGAACGTATAAATGGCTTTAAAATGCAATGATATTTAAGGTTTGCACATATCTATATTGAACTCAATAATATTATGTAGATAAATTATCATCCTAAGGATAATAGTTAAACTTGATTTCGTATTTATAGGTGAAACATGAAATTCACTGTTTCAAAAATCTTAATTTTCAAATAAATTTGTATGCGAGTTTATAAGTAGTATCCACAAAATCAAGTAACATAGACAATCGTGAGAACAAATGAATCCAAATCATCAAGTTACCTGTTAACTTTGACGTATGACCAGCATTGTGTGTAGACAATCCTGATGCAAACCCACCACCGTGTCCAGCACCATGTCCAGATGCTACTGCAGCATGTACATTATTATGTACAAACGACCTTGATGACGCATGTGCATTACTGTGTGCCCATGACGACACGTGGCTTTTCTGTTGTGGAATGTAGGATGGTGACTGCTGAGCTCGTTGAGGATAGAAATAGCCTACATGGAGAAATAATGTTATTACATTGGTAGCATTGAATTACATTGATTTCCCAGTCAAATAAAAACCGATAATTTCACATGTGAAATAAACGTGGTTATTTCACTCTCTGACGTCATGCAACAATAGGCGTTGTCAAGACGTCGATAACGTCGGATCAAAACAAATTGTGAATGCGTAGAAAAAAGATATAGTTCCTTACATTTTCGACATTAATTTCATTAAAAAAAGCCATTTGCCAATGTAACAAAAAGAATAACTAATCAAAGAATTCAAATATCGAAAAATATTCAACTCGTGACCAAAAAACACTGATAATTAACTCATGGGCTACGCGCATTCGTGAATTAATGTGTTGTTCGGTCACTCGTTGAATATTTTTCTCTATTTGAATTCTTCGATTAGTTATTTTATAAATATTAGGTTACCAATTTAGTACAAATTGATTATCGCAATCTAGTTTACTAAGGTAGATCCGGACCATATTAAAAGAAATGGCTTATTGTACAAGTATATTTATAGTAATTTTTTCCAAAATTCAAATCATCAGTTATTTGCGGTTTACATGTTGTAATGTACTATTATATTATTAATAATGCATTTCTCTGTGCTGAATGTTCTTGCTTTTGTTAACACTGTATTCCTGTCACGTAGTGTTGTCATTTTAGCGAAATTTTTTTGAACATTGCCATATAAGCGGGAGGTTTGGCTAGCCATAAAACCAGGTTCAACCAACCATTTTTTCTTAAAAAGATTTTCGGTTTCCGTCATAGCTCATGAAAAGGAGAAATAGTAGATAAAATCCTTGAAAGTAGAGAACATTGAGAGGTACCATTTGTTACGGTGACCGGTTGCAACTCGGACGATTTTTTTTATTGAAACAGAACGAAACTAATCCGAGAACCACCAACAAATTTCAGTCTTTGTCAGAGTGTAATTCTGGAGATATCAAGACATATGAGCCTTTTATTATATGGTTTCTCTGCGAAATTAGGATATTTTTTTATTATTTCATTTTATTTTCAAATCTGTTATATGTTGGTTCTTTTCTAATTGACATGCCCTCACTGAATGTAAAGAAATGAAAGAAAAACAGAAAAAAAATTGAAAATAAAACAAATATGATAACATTTTTTTGGAAAGTCCTCAACGTGGCCACGCCAAATCAATACTTCGTCACACTCATAGTATTCTTTAGATTAGTTAAAAGCCAGTGCTCTAATGGCTTAATAAAACTGTCACGTGTCTGAAAACCTACACATACATATGTACATATACGTCAATACTAGGAATGCCGGGCATGCAAATTGGTACCTTACTACTGCGATTTATTTGCGATAACACTTATAGTGTGTGTAGATAATTTTTTTAAATACCTAGATGTCTTGTTAAAGACGTCAGTTTGTTAATGAAGATACCATTCTTTATTTGCGGGCATTTTTTTGCACATTTTTACAAATGATTTATACGGTAAATTTAAATTTTATGGTCATCAGTTTCGCACTAAATAGTGTCAGTCGAGTCGTTCGAAAATAAACTGACAGCGCCATGGCTGAAACAGAAAAAGACAAACAGACAAACAATAGTACACAAAACACAATATAGAAAAATAAAGACTGAGCAACACGAACCCCACCAAAAACTGAAGGTAATTGAGACAGTCTTAATTGATCAGACATTTGTATGTAAAAGTTGTAGTAGTACATTCGGTCATTGGCAAGTACCTGTTTTGGCATAAAAAGAAGTAATAGACAAAACACTGGAAAGCAGTAAAAACACCGGGTCAAACTAGGTTTGTGAATCATATATTCCGATATTTGCCGAACTCATGACACATTTTGATACTTTATTTCTACCAATATGTTAATATAATAATCCTTGACAAATTATTGCTTGTGCTTGTCAAGTTTTGGTGAGTTTATATGTCTGTGGTTGTCTTTTTCAATGTTTGTTTTCCTGTGGTTCATGTCACCAATTTTTAATAACTTGTTTATACTAAGGACGATTAAGAGATTGCCAAGCGATGTCTGTTCAAAAGGGAAGATTTGATGGAACGTCTTAACAAAAAGAATAAAGATAATGACATCCAAGGAACTTTACATTTAAGTATCTGAGTTACTTTGTAGTTTCGAGTATATGCCTGCGTATTATCAAGAACCCATTGCTTTAATTGAATATTTTCGAATAAAGAAATGATTGATAATATGCACACTTTTCAAAGTGAGAACATTCAGGATAGAATGTCCCAATGTTTGCTGATGGTTTTTTTTTCACTTTTGTTTATTGTTGAGTGTTCTTGTATGGTTTTTGTTACTTTTGCATTCTTTATTTTCGTTTCTGAAGTTTTGAACAAATCAATATTAATGATATTACTCCAATAATAGAAAGAAAGGTGTAGTGAAAGAATGGATGAGTTAAGGTTTTCTTTGACACAAAAGCTACGGTTTCCTTATCTATGAGTTATCGACAAAACGCACAACATCACTACATTATCTTTGAAGTTGATATGTGAAAAGAATTTGGGATGAAAAACCTCTTTATTGATAGGTTTCACAAACCGAATTGGAATCTTTTTTACTACTGCCTTTTTAATTTTTGACTGGTTTCTTTTATGGTTATCTATGATCTATCAAGAAGTTTAATGTATATAACACTGTCGGAAAATACAAAATATGTGTGTACGATCTTGAGAAACAGGACGAAAAGCAAGGTTCGTTTAGCTTTTCTCCTGTTTCGTAGCGAGTACAAAATAGTATACATTTCTGAAAATGTACATTTAATGTTTTATTCTGCAATTTAGACCCGGCACTTGAATATTAGTTGTTCAAAGCCAAGTCATTGCCTTTGATTATTTGTGTTAATTTTGTTATTAAAATCGACATGACTTAAGCGCAGACCGCGAAGTGCACCAGAAAATGAACATTACCGTTCGCTCAACATGGAAGCAGGATAACAGGAGACTTTATTTGTACAGGAAAATAGCAAGCATGTATGTTTTTGGTCCTCAATGCACTTCAAATTCGTACTTTATTTGGCCTTTTAACCATTTTGTATTCGTGCGTCACTGATGAGTCTTTTGAAGACAAAATGCGCGTCTGGTATACAAAATTATAAGCCTGATATTTTGTATGAGTTTCTTTATGTGTGTTCCTGTTATATGCACAATATTTGGCGGAAAGCAGGATAATTAAGAATATGTGTTGTTGTACACACGTATTATCAGGACAATATGTCAGACAAATTAAGTCACTATGAGACATTATATAGATTGAATCATTGGAACACAAGGTCATGCGCCCCTTCGTCTGACAGCATCTCTGCCGAACAGGAACATGGAATTCCTCGCACACCACGTTTATTGTCACCAAGGATTTAACAAGAAATTTGCCACACAAACAATTGGGAGATATATGATCGATACAGAACATCATAAAGATTCAAACACTTTATACATTGTTATGCCTACGTAGAAGAATTTCATTTCTTCTTTGAATGTGTTATTGATTTTTGATTAAGGAAAAGGTAGTGTATTTAAACAATATGTTATAACATCAGTTATATAGCAAAATTCAATCAATTCTCAGCCCTTAAATAAAACATGATTTTAAAAAAAAATATGCTAAGATTCGGGGTAGGGAATCCTTGGTAATATTTGAAAACAATATGTTGTTGTAGAAATACTGCTAGTTTTGAATTAATGTTTTCAGGTTCATGTCTGTTTGTTATTGATTAGCAAATTAGATCTTTCGAAAAGCTTTAAAATGTGTTGCCTTTGCTTTGAAGGAGGTAGAACTAGAGTAAGGACATACGATACACTTTTGATCCCAAGGTGTTTTTCTCAAGATAATTTTTATACAAGCTATCATTCACCTAGTCAATTCAAATTATAATAGAAAAATATACTTACATGTGCTACTTTTAGAGATAAATGGGGTCGATTTTTTTTAGAAATAATATTTGAAAACAATATGAATACAATTATATGATAAATGTTTTTTTCCACTTGTTTGTTTTTATTTTTGATTTGATTTTGATTTTGATTTTTGGTGTTTTAACGCCACTTTTAAGCACCGCTTTTGAGCTTTTTTGTGGCGGTCAGTTTTTATTGGTGGAGGAAGCCGGAGTGCCCTGAGAAAACCACCGACCTTCGGTAGGAAAACTGACAATCCTAGTCAATTAAGATTGGAGTCGAGTGCACCCGCACGAGCGGGGTTCGAACTCACAACCTCAGTGTTGACTGGCTAGTGATTACAGTAGTAACTACTTAGACCACTCGGCCACCGAGGCCCCTTTTTATTTTTTGAAGGCTTATTACATATGAGCATAGTATAATTATAATATTTTACTTAAATTCAGTTACCATCGTATTTCAGTTTGGTGTGTACTATGATTTAGTCAGCCTATAATAGTGTTGGTGACGTTACTGAAATATAATGTTGGGATGTAGTACATATTATTAATATTCGGCTTGACAAGAAGATGGTCTAAATAAAGGCAACAGTAGTAAACCGCTGTTCGAAATTCATAAATCGATTGAGAAAAAAACAAATCCGGGTTACAAACTAAAACTGAGGGAAACACATCAAATATAAGAGGAGAACTACGACACAACAGAAACACAACATTAAAATGTAACACACACAGAAACGAACTATAATATAAGTGGCCATTTTCCTGACTTGGTACAGGACATTTTTTAGAAAAAATAAATCTTAAATTGTATTCTACCGTCCCTACCGTTGTTGTAGAACTACTGCTAGTTTTGAATTAATGTTTTCAGGTTCATGTCTGCTTGTTATTGATTAGCAAATTTGATCTTTCGAAAAGCTGTAAAATGTGTTGCCTTTGCTTTATAAGCCGGTAGACGTATACATCCGATTAAATTTGGGCATATTATTTAGAAATAGCTGCATCTGAGATTGATTTTAATAGATATTTAAATCGTTTGACCATAACGCATTATGCTGTTGATCCTTCCAACGTTTGTTTTCCCTTGGTGCATTCAAGTCTTGATCTACACGCACCCCTGTGTCCCACGTTACATTGTATATCTAATTATCTATCTAGACTCTGTCTGCAAGGTTACTATATTGTATATGGTAACCACACATATTTCCATTAATATTAATTATAAACATAATTGTTTTTAAAGTAATGATTGTCAACTAAAATATGTGTCCAAATATCGCCAGACCATACATGTATTTAGTTTTACTTTGCCCGACTGAGATAGCATGCTTCTTTGTTAAAAAAAAACAGTTTAAGAAAACGTCTCCATTACACAGACTTTCATTTGTTGTGAAAACAATCAATTTGTCATTGAGAAAAAGATGAGCCTAAGTATGAAATAATGTATTACATTATCTGGTTGATTTCTAAATATGTTTTACAAAAGTTAACTGTTATAATGTGTATAAATACGGTTATGTCATAATGCATGGTAGATACATCTCATAAATGTTTAACGTACACATGTATGTATGAGCATTACATACGGTGCATTGATTTTAACTAAAGATATTGTTTTCTCAATAATTTTTAACAACTTAAGAAACATATGTCATTTGTTTCATGACATTTTGTAAAACAAAATTTTTATTTAGAGAATGTGTAGATAACTATTACAATAGTGCAGACAGATATTAGTTTTAAACAAATACAAAACAAATTTTCAAAAAAAAAAAAAGACAACAACATGACACTAATAAAAAGACTGTCAGGTTAACAATAAAAAATACTAAAAAGTTCTACCCGACTTGTGGGTTGTTCTCGGCAAATAAGTTTATAATATTCCAAAAATATTGTGATTTGTGGAAAAATATGATCGAAAATGTAATGCAGACGGACGAATAAGGAAAAATATAAGATGAATAAAAAAAATATCATTGTCCTACAATGAATATTCCCAGATAAATCCATTGTATAAATTTCTTAACAACTAAACAGCTACTACCTGCAAAACATCGTACACGGATACTTAATTATGCCTACCTGCACTTGCCAAACAAAATTGCAAAAGTAAACTTATGAGTAATAGATCCATGATGAGGTGCACTGAAATTATACAGAACATGTTCTTTTATACCAAAAGTCAAAAAGAGGCACTATCGGGATTTTGCATTAACGAAAATAATACTACCGACGTGAAACTTGATAAGAACCAAATCTGAAGTCCAAACAGATGAAATATTTCAATGAATGCCATCGATTCAAAATGATTAAATACACATACGACTCTTTACGTATTTCTACTCGTTTGAGAGGTATTAAATCAATTCACAATATGCTTAAATGCATACAGTTTTCCCGACCAAAAGTTCGTGCATGCAGACATATCCTTTTGGAGCCTTACTTTCCATATAATGCCTTATTTACTCTTTTTAGTAACCAATTATTTCAAAACAATACACAGCATTATAGAACGCCCAGCTGACACATAAATGTAAATAATCAAATAAAAAGCTGCAACCAATATTTGCATCTTTTATGTAGTATTTTACATCAAAGGTTAGGGTTTACTCACAGTGTGTAAATAATCTGTATTTACAAGGAAGATATAAGCAGAATGAAATCAGTCGTGTTCAACATTTATGTTTGTTGATAATCTAAATGTAACTGCTATAGGTAATGAAAGAATTTAACCTTCACAATCCCACAGCTATATATCATATTATTTTGTTTCTTGTACTTCTATTTTGCATTCACATTTACGCACTTGTACATGTATTGATTATGTTGTTTAAAAGTTTCTAATTTGAAACGTTGATTACTCAATTACATGTTGTAATTTAATAGGTACCGTCCTTTTTGACAAATTACGTATAAAAATACCCCTGAAAGTAAATTTAGAGACATATTAAAATAAATAAATTGCTTGTTTCTTGATCCTATTTCTGTACGCTGTACTATCGTATTACCCAGGATCTGCTTACCCTTCCGGAGCACCTGAGATCACCCCAAGTTTTTGATGGGGTTCGGGTTGCTCAGTCTTTAGGTTTCTGTGTTGTGTTTTGTGTACTATTGTTTGTCTGTTTGTCTTTTTCTTTTTTAGCCATGGCGTTATCAGTTTATTTTCGACTTATGAGTTTGAATTTCCCTTTGGTATCTTTTGTCCTCTTTTATATTATATAATTTAATGCATTGTATACACAGAATTATTGTTTAAACTGAAATAAAATTGTTGTATCACAAAACATAATAAACTGTGATAGATATAAGGTAAATGAGACCTTACTATTCTAACACCATGATCAAGTGGCTTTTATCTATTTTCGCAAATTCTCGCGATAACTAGGATCAATCCTGTTTTGTATGATTGACCTTCTCATTCTAATCTAGCGATATCTAGAAGCAATCCTGTTCGCCAGGACTTTTCTTCTCGTATTAATTTCGCGATATCTAGGACCAATCCTGTTTGCCAGGATTTATTCATTCGTTTTTCTCTCGCGATTCTGATTTTTTTTTCTGACGCTTTAGAGATTTAGTATGAAGGAGGTAGAACTAGAGTAAGGACATACGATACACTTTTGATCCCAAGGTATTTTTCTCAAGATAATTTTTATACAAGCTATCATTCACCTAGTCAATTCAAATTATAATAAAAATATATACCTACATGTGCTACTTTTAGATATAAATGGGGGTTTTTAGATATTAATTTTCTCAAAATTCCGGTTTCTTGAAAATTTCTATCCTTTGGATAACTTACTTTTGTTTGCTGCAAAAGATAACCACAAGCGGATTTTAGTAAAATCAATTTGAATATCTTCTTTATACAACTATGCTATAAATCGAGTGCAAAAATTATTTGGAAATAATTCATTTTAATTTGATTTTCCTGATTTTAGAAAAACAAACTGCATTTTTGCTATATATTTATCGAATTAAGATAAAAAATCATCGGTAATTTTTCCAGAAAAATTGATACAAATAATCTTCATATATCATCAAGTCAAATGTCATTCCGAGCTAATGATTAAAATCAGGCGAAACATTACGTTATACGTCAGCAACGTCATTATCTCCCCTGTAAATATATCGTACGTCATTAACTCCCCTGTAACGTCATTAACTCCCCTGTAACGTCATTAACTTCCCTGTAACTATATCGTACGTCATTAACTCCCCTGTAACTATATCGTATGCCCTTTGTGTCAACCATTTTTATCAAAATCTATTAAGCTTTTTAGATTAGTTTAAACATGTTTCATTCACCCAAAGTTAAATGGATTGGACACAAGTAAATAATACTTACAACGTCTGCTCCGAATTACAATATATAACAATGCAAGATTTATATGAGCATGCACTGTTTCGAAATATACAATACTTTACGTGTCTAGCTATTGAAAAAAGATAAAACAATAATAACTAATTGGTAATGATGATGATGATGTGAATGTACGGCAAATACACTATTCAGTATCATATGACAGGAAATCTCTCAGAACTGTTAATAAATTCAAATACATGTTTAAATATCTGGACATTTTGTTCATACGAAAGGTTCAGATTATAAGATGTTGGTAACTTTACATGCAATATAAGGTCATCAGGGAGCCATCTTAGATTGATCATCAGAATTTCTCTCTGATCTGTATACCATGGAAATGATGTACAGTCTCAATGTTGAACCAAAAAAGACAAGATGGGTTAGCAGTTATGTTGACTCAAACAAGTCATAATTAAAGAAAGCTTTTTAGTAGCACATGCTATTTTACTTCAGTGTGAAATGACTCTTAAAAAGAATGGCTGAAACTGCAAATTAAAAGCGCATCAAAGATCGAAGATTTAATCCTTTTAAAATCAAATAAAACAATCACGAAAACATAAGCTTCTGGAAAATTTTGCTGTAAGGATATAATACATTTTAAATTACTTCCTTGATACTCGAAAATTTCGGGATAAGGAATTTTTAGCCATCTAAATATTGATAATGAATTTACGCGAGACCAATTCGTACGCCATATCTAAAGCACATAAAATTGAAAATGGAAATGGGGAATGTGTCAAAGAGACAACAACCCGACCATAGAACAGACAACAGCAGAAGGTCACCAACAGGTCTTCAATGCAGCGAGAAATTCCCGCACCCGGAGGCGTCCTTCAGCTGGTCCCTAAACAAATATATATACTAGTTCAGTGATAATGAACGCCATACTAAACTCAAATTGTACACAAGAAACTAAAATTAAAAATAATACAAGACTAACAGGCTAGAGGCTCCTGACTTGGGACAGGCGCAAAAATGCGGCGGGGTTAAACATGTTTATGAGATCTCAACCCCCCCTATACCTCTAGCCAATGTAGAAAAGTAATACGCACATTAAAATTCAGTTCAAGAGAAGTCCGAGTCTGATGTCAGAAGATGTAACCAAAGAAAATAAACAAAATGACAATAATACATAAATAACAACAGACTACTAGCAGTTAACTGACATGCCAGCTCCAGACTTCAATTAAACTGATTGAAAGATTATGTCTTCATCATATGAATATCAGGCACAATCCTTCCCGTTAGGGGTTTAGTATCATACCATCATAACATATATGAGAAGAACATAACCCGTGTCATGCCAACAACTGGTTTTTAAATAAATGTGTTTAGTGCCGATGCAAAGACCCTATAAGTGAATCAATATTAACGCCAAAATATGCAATCTTTAATGACCTGACAACAGTATCGTAACTATATCCCTTCTTAATAAGTCTATTTAAAGGTTTTGTTAGCTTCAGAGGTGAATACTGACATTTTTGTGCTTTATAAAGAATATTTCCATAAAAAATTGGATGTGAAATACCTGAACGTATAAGAAGTCTGCATGTTGAGCTATATTTACGAATGATGTCCTTATACCGATGATAAAATTTAGTAAATGTTTTGACTAGTTTGTGATATCGAAAACCCTGGGGTAATAATTTTTCAGTAATACATAAATTTCTCTCGTTAAAATCTAAAACATTGTTACATACACGAGCGAATCGTACAAGTTGAGATATATAAACACCGTAAGATGGTGACAAGGGAACGTCACCATCTAAAAATGGATAATTAACGATAGGAAATGAAAAATCATCTCTTTTATCATATATTTTAGTATTAAGCTTTCCGTTAATGATATAGATATCAAGATCGAGGAAAGGGCAGTGGTCATTGTTAGTATTAGCTTTATTTAAAGTAAGTTCAACAGGATAAATTTCTTTAGTATACATACTGAAGTCGTCATTATTGAGAGCCAAAATATCATCCAAATATCTAAAAGTATTATTAAATTTTTGTATCAGATGTTGTTTCGATGGGTTTTTGCTGATGTTTGTCATAAATTGTAACTCATAGCAATACAAAAAAAGGTCAGCAATAAGTGGTGCACAGTTAGTTCCCATTGGAATTCCGATAACCTGACGATATACGGAATCTCCAAAGCGAACAAAAATGTTATCTAGTAAAAATTCAAGGGCATATATAGTATCAAAGCATGTCCAATTGACATAGTTTTTTTGTTTATTGCTACTAAAAAATGACCTAAAAGAGTTTGAACATATATATTCACATTCTGACTTTTTAAATGCCCATTTAATTAGGTGTGTGAATTTTTTCTTAATGAGAATGTGAGGCAATGTGGTATATAGGGTAGAAAAATCAAAACTTTGAACAGATTCAAAATCACCAATATATGCATGTAATTTATCAAGTACTTCCAACGAGTTCTTGACACTCCAAAAGTAATTAATTCCACTATTTTCGAAGGCCTTATTTGAACAATTTATTATCAGGTTTTTGATTGTACCAAGTGTACTGGTAAGAATAATTGACAATTTAGTAGTGGAACAATGGCTTGAAGACGAAATGAATCTATATTTGTAAGGTGTTTTGTGTAGCTTCGGAAGCCAATTCATAGTTGGGACTTTCATTGTATTTGGTTCTGTATGTAAAGCGGTAGCTAAAAGTTTATGTTTGTTACAGATGTCGTTTTCTGAAAATGGAGTCAGTTGGAATGTTGGTGAATTGGTGATTTCTTTTTTCAGAACCTCAATGTGAAATTTACGTCAAACAATAATAATATTATTAGCAGCTTTATCGGCCGGGACAAAAACAAATTCCTTGGCTAGTTCTTTTAGTTTATGTTT